TTTACTTAATATCCTAATGATTTTTGGCATAAAAGAAAAATGTATAATTTTGACCCATACAATGTATTGTTGGCTATTGCTACAAATATACCCCAGCGACTTAACACTGCTTTTGTGCTGCAGGGACACACACATATATATATATATATATAATATAGTTAAATTATACCATTTTCAGGTTTCATTTTTTGATTGTAAATATACTCTATGTATTCAGCAGACGCTTTATCCAAAGTGACGTACAAGAGAGGAACAAAAGCAATACATCAAAAAGCCCACAATATTCGTCATATAAAATTCCAGACAACTAGATTAGGAATCACTCTAGAGAAGAGGAAGAATGCAGATACTTCTATCATTTCCCGAGAATGACTCTTCTGTGGAAATGTTCCTTACAGCATTTCGTCTTATGATTCAAATGTATTGTGCTACGTACAATAATTAGTTCATTCATGCTTTTTCCAAATATGTGTCCATTCAGAACGAGCTGGCTTGATTTAATGACGCTCCTGTATTCTCAGGTCACATCAATGCTACAGGATGCCCTGGTGAAGCATCTGAAGTCTGACGATCCCATAACTCCACTTCCACTCGCACCTCCTCCAGCTCCGTTCATGGACAGCGACCGTTATGAGAAAGCCTCCATGCATGCCGATGACCAGTCGCTGGGAACCCTCCCAGAGGAGGAGGAATCCGACTGGTCAGAAATGGGAGAGGAGGCTCTAGACTCGGACCCGAGGGGGAGTCGTGGAAGTGCAGTGTATTTCCAGTGGCAGCAGAGGCAAGGCGGCTGGGGACTGATGGACACGGAGAACGAGTCTGGAGGCGAGGAGAGCAAATGTCATCAAGCTCACCACGGCCTACAGATACCACATCTCAAGTTCACCGTCCACCCCGAAACCCTGCCGGTTCCCATCGAGGATGCCAGCCTGGCCCGCTTCAAGCAGAGTCTCGGAGGTCCAGCATGCGACGTGTACCGGATCACAGAGGTGCACAACCTGGGCTCCCCCATTCGCATGCTGTCCTCTAGCCTGGAGGAGATCCACTCCATCCGGCTTCTGAAGCAGCAGCAGGATCATCACAGCCAGCTGAGGAGCAATAAATCCATGATGGACCTGCACCTGTCACAGTCTGGCTCGCACGCAGACGAGGTTGTGTGTAACTGGAGAGAAGCTGGAGAGGACAGAAGCGGGATGCTTGGTCTGGAGTCTGCTCAGAAAATGCTCGACCACTTTATTCACGATGGGGAGAGCACACACCTGTGATTAACGGGGAATGCTCGTTATATGTCAAAAATATTAGTGATGAAGTACAGGCTAACCATCTTGGCAACTTGCATTTTATCACTGATGCAAGAAAGAAAACAGAGAGGGGAAATCATAACGTGCTTATTTTGAATTAAAGATAAATTTGTCCTAATTTAATTTTTAATGTTATGGAAAATCTTTGCAATCTTTCACCAACATGTAGTAACTTGCTCTGCCTCTAAACAACGTCTTTCACTGGCATCACTTCACTTCATCAATCATAGCCAAATAGCTATAGTTTTAGGCTACTCTATAGAAGAAACCGTATGATATTTAATGTAGCGGTTTAATGCTGGTTGATGCTTGTTAGGAAAAAAATAGATTTGAAAAAAAAAAAAGTCTGTAAAATGGTCGGTTCTGTTCAGGATCATAGTGAAAGATATTTGTCTCCCGGGACACAAGATGATCTCATAGTTTTTATGTAGTTCTTGGGTTTGGTATAAAGACAAAACACTGCTATTTTCATCAAATAATGAACAAAAGCTACTAAAACCGGCTCATTAGATATTTATTCATGTTTATTTAATATTCATTTGAATTCTAATGCCGCACATGCTAATGTGTGTTTAATTCTTCTAATACTATTACTTCTTCATTTTACTCTTTACAGTATTTCTATATTAGCTTTAAAAGACTATATATATCTTCATGTGTAGTTTTTTATTTATTTGTGAAAGATTATAGGAAAAAACATTAGCCGTGTGATATATATACGTAGTTCATCCCATATGTTTTCTCACTAGAAAAATGTGAATGCACATTTAAAATGTAATAATTGTCTATCTGTATGTAATAAATGTGGTTATGCGGATGACAGTTTAATAGAAGATTACAGAAAAAGCACATTGCATTCTTTTGACAAACTCAGGATGCTGTAGAATGTCATGTTGATTTTGAATTATTATTATTATTAATTTTAGTGGTACGCCAGCTTGTGCAATGCATCTTTCTTGCTGTTGACGTTTGTATTAATGTCTGTAATTATTTGCATGTTAATATAAATAAAAGTAGAACAAACATTAATGCTGGAAGTTTCTTATCTTGAAAAGAGTAAATAGTCATTTTAATGTGCATTACATGTAATACAGTTTCACCTGATTTCTTGATTAAATACCTGATAATTAAGATACAGTGAAAGATAAATCCATAACTAATGGAAAAGAAAGCTGAAATACATCTATTATGTAGTCTGAGGCAGTCAGTCATTAATTTTTGTTTTAACACTTTTATATTACCCTGCAGTGTAAACAACATAAATTATAAAAAGTAAAAATGTAACATGCAGTCTCCCAATTAATATGAAGTCATCGAAGCTGCATCCATAAAATTAAAAACTATAATGTTGTTTAAAATAATAAACTTACAGAACATGGAGTGTAGCATGTCACAGCACGGAACATCAAATAATTCACATCACTACAAATATTTAATGTCAGATAAAACTGACATTAAATCAAAAGCCAATGGCATCTCAGCAAAAGTTCAAAAACACAGGTATTTTAGATCCATCACATGTAACGTGTAACCAAAGGTCTGCAAAAAAGACTATTCAGTGAAAAAGCTGAGAAAATAAAACAATGACTTCATATTATATTACATTATTCTAAAAAAAAAAAAAAGGTCTTAAGGTTCCCATAAATGTTGAATCCTTTATTTTTATTTGCATTGATGCATCCTTCCTATATAATATATCAAAACTTAATTTTTGATTAGTAATATGCATTGCTAAGAACTTAATTTGAACAACTTTAAAGATGATTTTCTCAATATTTAGATTTTTTTTGCACCCTCAGATTCCAGATTTTCAAATAGTTGTATCTCAGCCAAATATTATCCTATCCTAACAAACCATACATCAATGGAAAGCTTATTTATTCAGCTTTCAGATGATGCATAAATCTCAATTTCACAAAATTGACACTTAAGACTGGTTTTGTGCTCCAGGGTCACATTTAAACACAAGAACAGGATTTAAAATGAATTACGGCTGCTCTCATGGCTCAGTGAACTGATTCTCTTCACTTCTGAACCGAGAGACGCTCTAGAACCACACTGAGCTTTGAAGGAAGGCGAAGGCCCTCATCATTTCTACAAAGTCTAGCACCTATCAGCTTCATAGGCAGCTTTAAGCACCCCGGCTGTCTCAGTCCTTCCAGCTTCTCTTGCTTGTCGTTATTCATCATCTTTATCCTCCACCTGCGTGACGCAAGGCAGCGATGCAGCACTGGCTTTGCTGAGCAGACAGTGGCCTTGTTTCTCATTGGAGAGGGCCGTTGTAATAGGATAGTTTAGGGATTACAGGTAAGACGCCCAAGACCTCTAACTTTGGCCAGATGCAGTGTGTCTCACCAGCTATGGGCATGGAGGTTCACCACTGAGGGGACACTACGGGGGGATCACCACCAAACAACCCGGACTGACCTCTGCTAAAGGACTACAACATACAGAACAGCGGCTGCGTTGTTGTTCGGATGAAATCGATTCGATCTCGTATTCTGACAAAGAAAGGGAACTTCACGGATTACACAGAGTTAGCTGTTGTTGCACAGATCCTCTGAAGCTCCAGCAGTTCCAGCTCCTCTTTCAGAGAGTGCACCGTTTGAACACTTCTGTGTGTTTTCACACTCTTCCAGCCTTCCTTTCTCTCAGGTTTACA